GAAGGCACGCACAGAGGGATAATTTGCCTAGTCAAAGTAGGAATCAAGCTTGCTCTAAAGACATCAAATTCCCAATCAAATCAAGAATTAAGCTTGCTCCAAAGAAACCAAATGCCCAAACAAAGTAGGAATCCAGCTTGCATGTAGGTAGCCATTGCATTGTGAATCAAGCCAGCATGCAAAGCCAATGATGTAATCGAAGGAGCACTAACAGAAGGCCCTTCCCTTTTGGATCGAAGGAGGCTATTTCAAAGGAAACACATGCCCAGTCAAAGCTTGTATAGAGCAAACAAGCAAAAGTACAAGGCTTTAATCAAAGCTTGGAAATTTGAGGCAAGCTTGGAGGAGGTTAGGCGCTCAATCGAAGTCTGTCCAGATGCCAATCGAAAGACCTTTTGACATGCCAATCGAAAGACTTTGTTAAAATTAAAATCGAAGACTCCTTGTTTATCTTCAAAAAAAATGTTTTTTCTTTAATCAAGTGTTTGTAATCACCTATGTAAGAGAAAAATCTTGGAAAATATGAGAGGAAAATTTTGGGGTACAACACCTTCTATTACTAATGTTTTACTTGTTGATGAATTAATGCATAATCTATTGTCTATAAGTTAATTAAGAGACAATATTTATGATAATATTTAATCAAAAGTCCTGTAAAGATGTTAGTCAGAAGGATGACTCTATTTTTTTAAATGGCAAGAGGAAGAACAACATTTATAAGATTAGAATTTTTTATCTTAAAGAACAAAATGTTAAGTGCCTCATGCCTATTAATGAAGAGCAATGGGTATGGCATAGACGATTGGGTCATGTTAGCATGAGAAAGATTTCTCATCTAAATAAGCTTAATTTATTCAGAGGCCTCCCAAATCTGAAGTTCTCTTTAGATTCTCTTTGTGAAGAATGTCAAAAAGGCAAGTTTTCAAAAACTTCTTTCAAAGCAAAGAATGTTGTTTCTACCTCTATGCCTTTGGAACTCTTGCACATTGACCTTTTTATACTAGTGAAAATTGTTTCTGTCAGTGGAAAGGAATATGATTTAGTCATTATTGATGACTACAACAGATGGGCATGAATTAAGTTTCTCATAGACAAGGACAAGTCACATTCTGTGTTCTTTACCTTCTACTCTGAAGTGCAAAACAAGAAGGATTTTAAAATTGTTAAAGTCAGAAGTGATCATGATGGTGAATTTGAAAATAAGATTTTTGAAAAACCTTTTATTGAAAATTTCATTTCCCATGATTTCCCATGCCCCAGAACTCCGCAGCAAAATGGAGTTGTAGAGAGGAAGAATATTACTTTGTAAGAAATGGCCAAAACCATGATCAACGAGAGTCAAAGGGCTAAGCACTTCTGGACTGAGGCATTTAACATAATATTTTATATTCATAACAGGATCTATATAAGACCCATTTTGAATACGACTCCATATAAATTATGGAAGAACATAAAACCCAACATTTCATATTTTCATCCTTTTGGATGTGATTATTCTATTCTGAACACTAAGAAAGATCTTAACAAGTTTGATTCTAAAGCACACAAGTGTTTAATGTTAGGATACCGTGAACGCTCAAAATACTATAGAGTATATAACATAAAAATACGAATTCTTGAAGAATCAATTCATGTTAGAATTGATGATAAGCTTGACCTTGAAAAGTCAAACTAGTTGATAAGTTTGCAGATTTGATAATCACCTACCCATGCTTTAAAGGTGAAGAATTTGTTTCTAAAGAAACTAAGACAAAGGATTCTAATAATGTTCAACCAAAAGTTGTTGAAGCTCAGACTCCTCTGAGGAAGCACATACAAAGATCTTCATATTCTGAAGAATTAATTCTGGGTGACAAGACTGAACCAATTAGAACCTGACTCTCATTCAAACCTTCTGAAGAGACACTTATGGGTTTGGTGTCCCTAATAAAACCTACATTAGTTTATGAAACACTTCTGGACACAAAGTGGATTCTAGCAAAGCAAGAAGAACTTAATTAATTCTCCATAAATGATATGTGAGATCTTGTGCATAGACTCAAGGGAACTCAAGTTATTAGAACTACGTAGATTTTCATAAACAAGCTCAATGAGAAATTAGAAGTGGTAAGAAACAAGGCCAGACTGGTGGCACAAGGTCATATTCAGCAATAAGGGTTTGACTATGCGAAAACCTTTACACCAGTTGCCACGTTAGAGCCTATTCGTCTCTTAATTTTTTTTATTAATCACAACATCATCTTGTATCAGATGGATGTTAAGAGTGCATTTATGAATGGTTATATTACTGAAGAATTGTATGTACGCCAATCTCATGGTTTTGAAAATCACAAAAATCTAGATTTTGTTTTCAAACTTAAGAAATCTTTGTATGGTCTGAAACAAGCTCCTAAAACATGGAATGAAAAGCTAAGCAATTTTCTTTTATAAAATGATTTTATCACAGGAAAGGTTGATACTACTTTGTTCTCTAAGATGAAACCAGAACCAACATCATTAACTATGCTTCCTACATAAAAAAAAATCATTTTCATACCACTAAGTGTTTCAGAATAGACAGTGGTTCTGAATTTTCAATGCATTCCTTTTTTTACTCTAAAGGTATACTTCACCAAAAATCTTGTGTTGAAACTCCACAGCAGAATGATGTGGTGGAGAGAAATTTCCAACACATATTGAACATGGCCATATCCCTTTCCTTCCAAGACAATCTTCCCCTCAACTTGTCATTCATATTATCAGGAACCACCTTCCATCATTCACCTCAAAGTCTTTGGTTGCATATGCTATGTATCTTCCCTTCAAGCTCATAGAACTAACTTTGATGTTAGATCTAGAAAAGCCATCTTCCTTAGCTTTAAGGATGACGCCAAGGGTTACCTCTCATACGACCTCAATTCTCATAAAATTTATCTCTAGACATGTCATCTTTTATGAGACACATTTCCCTTTTAAGACACCTAACATGTCATTTCATATTCTGTTCCTAAACAAGATCCCTATTAAATCCCTCATTCGTTGGATGATAACACTGAACCTGTATCTATGGCTCGTTCTCCTGAACATACAATTGATCCATCACTTGACCAACCAAATTCTCCCTCTACCATCTCTATAGACCTTGACCACACAATTACCCCCTCTTGAACCTAAATCTCTATGGAACATATATAACCTAGTATTAGCCATTTAATTCAATATAATAATACAGCAATGTGACATTACCTCTAACTTATTTTTGTTTTACTAAGGTTTGGTGTGTTTTAGGATTTTCCTATTTTAGACTTAATAAGAGGTTGGGTGAATTTATTGAGTTGGAATTATGTATCCTTCATTCATTTACCAATGTCGTGGTGAGTTATGGTCATTTAGTGCAACCACTACTATTACTACTAGCTAGAAAAGGAGTATAACTGCAACGAAAAGGCACCACGACATCATAGGAAAAATGAATTGTCTCTTACTCTCTTCTCTTACAGCCAATGTTTTTAAATTGACTTGTTTATTACTGTACCCAGCAAAAATGTTGTTTCTCTTGAAACACGGTTTGTTTTGTTTGTTCACAGTATGTCGAACATGCATTGCTTTGTTTTGTTCAAGTTTTAACGTGACTCTGTCTCTCGGGAACATGGCCCTAGATTAGTAGGGATGAAGAGTAAGAATACACAAAAAACAAGCGCCCACCGTGGGGCTCGAACCCACGACCACAAGGTTAAGAGCCTTGCGCTCTACCAACTGAGCTAGACGGGCATCTTGTTAAGTTCTCACTTTACCTTTTTAAATAATAAACTTAATGTTTCAAACCTCATTAAATTATTTTTTCAAACTTATATATCATATTATCATTCATGTGCATTTTGAATTGTTTATGCTTTTAGTTTGTACAAAAGATAAAATTAAGTAATTGCTGTCTTTGCAGCTAATTATTCATCTTGAAAATGCTGTATACTTATTTAAATGTTAAAATTAATATTTAAAGTTGTGAAGTCATTATTCTTTTCAGCTTATAAATCACTGTTACATTTTTTAATTGTTTATGTTTTTTTATTAAAAAAATTGGTTCAAAGGATAAAATCAAGTGATTGTTGTTTTTGCAGCGAATCATTGAATCATCCTGAGTTTGTTATTGAGCATTGAAGAATCATGTTAAGACAACATTAGGACGCAAAAAAATACCACACAGGCACACACTACACTATGTAAATACATGTTTGGTTATTTTTATAAGTTCCAAAAATGAGTATTATACGTGCGCTTATTTTAACATAGAACATGTTAAATAGGAGTTCTTTAAATGTTCTTGACTACTAAAATATTAGTTTGATATGTCATTTATATATAGTTCTATCTATGTCTAAGAAACTTTAAATATACCTTTAAAAAAGCTTTAAAGGTAATTTTATAGCATGTAAGTTTCATATATTCGATTGTACATCCACTCAAACAAAAATCATATGCTTCCAAAACATAAAAGTGTGTCTCACTGCAAGAAAGTATTATAAAAAACTTATTATCATCAGAGTTTTAACTGGTAGTGAGATGAAGAGTGAAAGCATTAATATGTTGTCAACTCTGCTAACACTGCTACAATGTTTTATTAACTTATTATAGATTCCTTCTAGTGAAAATAATCTAACTTGAAATCTGTTGCACATTAAATATATACTAAATATATGTGACTTGAATGCAAGTGAATGGAGTCTCATATTACATAACTAGTTTGTTTACTAGAACATAAAAAGTTTCAAGGACGTGATTGATGTTTCTCCCTACAAGCATAGTTAAAATTTTAAGAATGTAGGCCCTATGAATCTACATTTTTTTACAAACTGATGATTGACCAAATGCAGGTCACACTCACACGATTGAACAGTGTAGCTGCAAAGGTATACAGTAATCATCCTACATTCTCACCCAACCTTTTCTACACGAACATCATTAGACTATGCTTCAGCCACCATCATGATTTATACAGGTCACTATTCAAAGAAGTTTCTGTATCAAAAATGTGGTTCCATGAGCTCTGCATCAAATGATGGAACAACAGATCAATTTTAATGCATCAGAAAACAAGCATATGCTACTGCTAGCAACATAACACCACTGACCTGCTTTCAATGTAGGGCGTGGTTGACAATTCAGGTCCATGTTTCCATTGACCCTAGTTTTGCTTGCATCTCTTTTAGTCAATATCTTTGATGCGCTCAGAGAACCTTCAACTGAAGGGCAAGTGAGAAAAAAGTTATACTTCAGACAAATAATCAGAATATATATTAGCTGAAGACACTAACCGGAAGCAATGCATTAGAATTTAATCAGTACTCAAGGAATGTAATAGTGCAGTTAATTTTGCTTAACTCCCCTAATCGATATAAATTTTATTCTCAACATCTTGTTTACATTGACTAATCAAACATGTTACTACACCTACCTTGCCATTCCCATACCACTTTTGATTCACCCTTCACCAACTTTGGATAGCGGTCTACACGAGAATCTTCTTGAACCAATTCTTCTACCTGCAATCCCAATTCCAGATCAAAGTTGTTACGAAGTACAGACACGGCCATTCATTTAGTTCATTGTAAAAATCCGTTGGAATGTTCAACTTCAATTATAGGACAAAGTAATGTCATTAACAGCAACTTGACAGATTGTTGGGGTTCAAAACATTACACCCTACACCAATTAATATGAGCAATGAGGAATGAAAGAATCATTGAACTCTGTTGATTTACAGGGATACACTATTACGAAATACAACTTAATCCTCGTTGATACACCATGTTAAGAGTCCCACATCAGACAATAGATGGCCTAAACATGTACTTATAAGTGCGGGCAATCCTCACCCTACAAGCTTGTTTTGTAAGGATGAGTAAGGCCCAATCAAAGTTCTTAACACACCACAGAATGAAAGAATGAATATTTTTAAGTGGAAGTTTAAACAAAAGACAGAGCAGTATAGTGAGAGAAAATGCAGGACATCAGCACAGAAAGAAATACTATGCTCAAACTTAGTAGCAAAATCAGCCAAGGGGAACTTTTGCAGCAGAAGACTGACTGAAGAACCGAGTTAACTAATGGGATAAACAGAATCATTTTGATATGTTTTGCTATTTGATTAATTGTTGTTGTGACAATAGAGGATAATCAAGCCGCAAATTACAAGATAACTTCATAATTACCTTTTTCCACAATAAAGGGTCCTTCCTCTCTCTTGGTAAAAGCAGGTGATCGCGTAATCGAGAAGCAACAACCCAGGGTTCACACTCGCCATTAACACTTTTTGATGTCAATGCATTCTCTTCAAGTATTTCACAGACCTATAAAATCAGCAACAAAGAAGTTTTAACATAGATTAATCCGAATAAAGCAGCAATAGTCATCCGTACAAAAGAACCAGTGCACTACAGCTGGCAATGGTGGTTAACAGGAGATAAAAGCCACTACAGAACAGGCCCGCAAAAGCTCTGAGTTATTGGTTCGGTGCATTATTCAAAAACTTAGTTTATACAAACTCTACCTACAAAAATTAGGAAACGTGGATATTTTTACAGTCATCTCAACCTACATAACTGTAATAATAACACATACCAAATGGTAGACAGAGTGAGGCATAATTGCATATGAACCTTCTGCTTAGCACACAACTCCCAACTCTGACAGAAACCAAACTACTTTGTGAACTCTAATTAACATGAGAACTCTATCACTCCCTCTGTCTCACTTTATTTGTCATATAAGGTAATACATGCATCTTTAAGGAAATCAGTAATTGTACTTCTCTCAGGGATAAGATAATGTTTTGACTAAAATGCTTTATTAGGAGTTATGCAGGACCAATTAATTGAGATACCAATAAATAAGGGTATTATGGAAAAAGAAAAGTATTTAATACTCTAGATATTTTGAAATGACAAATGATGTGGTACAAACCAGTTTTTCAAATAGGACAAATAAAATACAGGAGTTAAATGTTCATAATATATTTATCATGTGTACTTAAACACACAATTATATCCCACTATACCTTGCTATAAAGCTCCTCAACTCGTCTCGACACACGTAGCTTTCGACGGACATTCCAGAACAAAATTGTGCACCCTACAAGCTGTTTAATCTTGGCAATGTTAAAATGTCTACTTGTTGATAACATAACATACATACAAACACACTTATGCAATGCATGTGCATGTACATGTGCATATGTGTGCGATGTGTGATGTGCTTTTAGGAAGGGATACCATAGCACAAATTGGCAAAACAACAAGAATATGCTGAGAGATCCACTGGCGAATGCGGCAGGCATATGGCTTGTAATGCTCTGCTAGCAAATCCGGACACTTGAATTCCTTCATCCTGTAAAAGACATAAGTTACGTGTTCAACAGAAGAAGTCTTAGCCTAGTAGGAAATGTACAGCTAAAAGTAAAAAAAGCCATTGTTGATTTAGAGCTTGAAAAGTAAGAGAAGGTAACATACCCCTGAGAATTTAACCTCATCTCCAATAATTTATCCATTGTATCAAACACCCTTTGTTTTGTATAACTATAAAGTGCATTACCCTCTTTAACATTTCCCACCGACTCAAAATAATTCCACAAATCATCATCATGAACCTGCCACGAGAATTCAAAATTCATACGGGATCAAACACAAGCAAAAGTACAATAAACACAGGTAAAAAACAACACAATCCAAGGGTTAAGAGTGGAAAAACTAACCCAAATTGATCCAGCTCCATAGCACAAAAATTGAGCATATTCTCCACAGAGGTGACGCTCCACTGTCTCCACCTAATGTTAAACCACAAACAATTTCCAAAGAGAATGATAAAATTGAATTGCAAAGAATAACAAAAAAATTGAATTTATTTTCACAAATCAAACTCTACAAAACACACAATTTTTCGAGCTGATTCATTGATATCTCCATCTTCTACACACAAGTTTCCATGCTTTTGGTAACCACTAACACACTCCAACTTTCCATCCTTGCACTCTCCATTACTTGGACAAGTTTCACAACTATCTGTATCCTACCAAATCAAACAAACAACAAAAATGAAACACATCATTTCAAAACAAAAAAATCATCAAAAGAAATAGGAGAGAGAGACTGACCGGGAAAGTAATCGAGAGTGTCGCAGTAGGGTTTGGTAGATGGATAAATGAGGGAGGTGTAAAGGAGATTGGAGGTCCAAGCAACTAGCGAAGCGACGGCGAGCACGGCGAGGAGTCTGGGGAATTCGTGCTTGGAAGGGAACAAATCTGGAGGGGGTTCTTTGTCGATTATTGATTTCATTTTCACAGAACCGCCACCGTAACTTTCCTTACTTTGCCGTGAGGCTTCTTTTTATCGGTTGTTGAGCCGTGGGAGATCACTGGACCACTTAAACCTTAATTTGAATTTTATTGAAGTGTTTTTTTTTTTTACCTCAAGTACATGTTGGTGTTTTTAGATGCGTCCAATTAATAAAAGTTTATATTAAATTTTTTATTTATTTCATTTTTATGCTTTTTTTTTAACTTTATTAAGTTCATGTTTTTTTTCGCGTAGGAAAAGGAAGGGAAAAAAAAAAGTAGGAAATCATTTAGAAAATAAAGACTAGCTACTAGTAGTAAAGAAATTATTCTAATAAGAGGTTATATAAAGGATCGGATCCTATCGTATTATTATCAATTATACATTTTGTTAGATAGTTTTTCTGGACACTGTTATAAGTAAAAAAATTCTTAATTTATGTATCAAATCTTTACGTAGATCAGATACATCAACTATTTAATTAATTAAAAAGAGAACATTTATTTATAATAGTGACGGAAGGGAGTAGTTAGCAAGAACATTCTCCTCTCTAAATTTCATAAAAAAGATTTCTCATCTCTCAATCTAAATTCAACACCATCTTTAAGAGTATAAAGGGCTTTCCTAATTGCATTCCATGTAATTAATCCTGATACCTTATTCATATTAAGAAATGTTTCCTTACTTGTGTATTTACTGTTGTACACCAAAATTTGCCCTCTCATTTTTCAAGGCATTTCTCACAAAGATTCTCAAAATTCAAGCTTGCACAAGTACAATTGGATTTTTCGGCATCAAATTAAAGAGGAAGCTGTTAAAATAGATCAAAATAGTATTTTTGACAAATTGGAGAAAAACAAGTCTTCTTCGATTCACCTCCTTCGATTGGCCTTTTGGCCTCTTTCGATGCAAGCTTGACTTGTATCCTTCGACTAGGCGGTGGCCTCTGACACGCTTGGCTTTGATTCACAAGGCAGGAGTTTCTTGCATGCAACCTTCGACTGCATCTTTGACCTCACATGGTTCACAGTGTAATGGTGGCCTGCATACCTGCTTTCGATTGGACATTTGATGCTTGCATAGACAAGTTAATGACTGGCTGCATGCAGCCTTCGATCGAGCCATGAATTCCTTCTTACATGCAAGAGGCTCCCACTAGGCCAGCAGGCACAAGACAAAGAACCTCATGTAGCCTCCTTCGATTCAAAGAGGAAAAGCCTCATGCACGCAACCTTCGATTGCACCATTGGCCCCTTACATGTTTGCCTTAAGCCACAAAGATATGACCCTCTGCATGCAGGCTTCGACAAGGCATTGACTCTTTATTACAAACCTTCGTTTGAGCAATGGCCTCTTGTATGCTTGCAAAGTGGTGTCCTCCTGCATGCAGGCTTCGACAGGGCATTGGCTATTGTTTATACTAGCTTCGACTGGATAACATTTTCCTTTAGTATGCTTGAATTCCACCCTTGACAACCTTCAGCACACATGGTTGGTGGCCCCCTTCAAAGGACATATATTGGTGGATTTGAAGGGCATACATAGGAGTCCATGTCCAAGGATATACCTTACTAGCCCATTCGAAGAATAGCATAGTCCATTCAAAAGACACATTTGACCCTTTCAAAGATACATACATGACCCATTCAAGGGACGTGTCTGGGTGTCCCATTCGAAGGACGTGTTTGATGGTCCATTCGAAGGACTTATAAGACCCCCTTAAGGCATACTTTGGTGACCCATTCAAGGGGCACACATTTGGCTCCTTCGAAGGATGCACAAAAGTGACCCATTCGAAAGACACTTGTTGGGTGAAAATCAAATAATGTTGTTTGAAGGAGAATCTGGTCGAAAGAGGTCAAAACGAAAGATGAAATATTCAAAAGATGTTGGCTGCCAAGTTTAGGCCTGGTACACTGGTCACAACGCTCCAAAACTATTGCACAACAATCCTGAAACACTGCCTCATTCTTGCACCAAAATGGCATACGAACACTGCCCCTCGAAAGCTACAAAAAGTAGTTTACTTAATTTGTTCAAATTGTTTGTTTTCCCTCCAAAATCTCAGCCAACTTTGCCTATAAATAAGAGGCTTCATAACATGCATAAGGGCTGGACAGACATCCAAATACTTTAGGGCATGGAGAAAAATCATCAAACACTCTCAAACACTTACACACATATTCAAACCCAGAATCTAACACTTGCTTATTTTGAATCTGAAGCAATCCCCACGCTTTGTTTTCCTTCGAATCCAGTAGAAAGAACATCACACTTGTTCTTATCCTTCGAATCCAACATTAGAAACGTCACCTTCGTTCTTTCCCTTCGAATTCAAAAGCATCTAGGCAGCCACTCAAGGTTCATAACACACGTTCCAGCCTCAAGCAAGGTAAGTTTCTCTAAACCTTGAATCTTTTGTTTCTAACATAACATGTGAATAGTCATTTCCTTCGTTTGAAGCATGTACATAACATTTATTTTCCTTTTCGTTTCCATCCTTTTAATTTTTTTTCATGGCTAATCCTTTTGGTTTTGTTTCTTGATTTATTAAATATGCTTTAAGAACTAACCTGACCATAAGACAATGCTAGCATGGCCTCAGGCCATGTTGCTATTTAAAATCTCAAACGAAAGAAACAGGAGGAAGGAAGTATGAAACGAAGCCTTAGGGCTAGATCACCTTTACTTGCTTTTCATTTGTTTGACTTGCTTGCTTTACATTATGATTCCTTGTTTGGGTTTGTTTTGATCCTCCACTCAGATCTGGGGCACCTTTTAGGTAAGTAGTAATAGATTATGGAAACTGTGCGGGGTACACCGACATGGTCAAAGCAATAGCTACGTTAGTGTGACACATTTGTTGGTACCGGTAGCCCTTGAGTAGTCAAGGAGAATACAGGGCCACTGTGTGGTGTCGTGAAGCACTAATTGACTTTAGAACCTTACTTGAACAACTTGGCCATTAGGAAGTAGTGAGGTAGTCGGCTTTGGTGCAGTCCGAAGTTGGTTGATACTCGATGCTACGCTCATTGAGATTGGACTTTCAAGATATTTTGGTCTCCACTAAAGAGGCTTGTGCTGAAACAATGCCCGATGAAGAAAGATCAGTGATATTGAGATCCCCTAGAATCTAGTTATTATTACTAGGACAGGTTGAGCCAACTAAACTTCAAGAGGATACTTGCCTACAAACTCCATGCAAGCCTAAACCTAAGGACTTGTCTACTTTGCGTGTATATGACTATTTGTACATGACAACTTGCTTGCTTTGCATACTTGTATATAACATCATGACATCATACCATAGCATTTTCAATAACCATTTCAAGGATCTCAAGGGCATGTTGGTATTTTTAGATGCGTCCAATTAATAAAAGGGTTTATATTAAATTTTTAATTTATTTCATTTTTATACATTTGTTTTAATTTTATTAAGTTAATGTTTTTTTTCGCGTAGGAAAAGGAAGGGAAAAAAAAGAGTAGGAAATCATTTAGAAAATAAAGATTAGCTACTAGTAGAAAAGAAATTATTCTAATAAGAGATTAATAAAAGATCGGATCATATCATTATCAATTATATATTTTGTTAGATATTTTCTCTGGTCACTGTTATAAGTAAAGATTCTTTTTTTAAGTTTATTAAATAATTTATGTATCAAATCTTTATGTAGATCAGATACATCAATTATTTAATGAACTAAAAAGAGAATATTTACTTATAATAGTGATTGAATTGAGTAGTTAGCAAGAACATTCTCCTCACTAAATTTCATAAAAAGAATTTCTCATCTCTCAACCTAAATTCAACACCATCTTTAAGAGTATAAAGGGCTTTCATAATTGCATTTCAAGTAATTAATCTTGATACCTTATTCATATTAAGGAATGTTTCCTTACTTGTTATGTATTTACGCTTCAAACTTTGAACCCATAAGAAATCACAATCTCGGTAGAGACCCTAAACCAACTTATCTAACATAGAAGTATTGGTCTCTCTTGCTATTCTAATCCCAAGACCACCCATCGTTTTGGGCTTAGTGATTTTGTTTCAACCAAAGATACGCACACTAGAGTTTGGATTACCTTTCCACAAAAATTCCTAGTCATCTTATCAATAAAATCACAATTTGGTTGACATAGCCAAGCCACTAACATATAACAATTAGGGACGGAGTTCAGGACAAATCTAACCAGAGTCAGATGATCAGTCTTGTTTAACAAGTTATGTTTCTAAGAAGTTAACCTCTTATTGATTTTCTTCTCTATGAACTCAAAGTCCTTGTGTTGAAGACGATCATTCAGCATAAGGAAACCCAAGCATTTCTCTAGAGTAAGAGATTACTTGATATCTATGTTGGAGACAATTAAATCATTTTTACTCCTCTTAGTGACAGCAAATAAGAACACAATTTATTTAGCAACATTCAATTTAAGGCCAGAAAACATGACAAAACCATTCAAGATATTATAAATGATCTCTACGTGGGAGTTAAAAATCTTTAAGAAAAGAAAAGCAGCATTTGTAACAAAAAATAAATGCGATATAGGGGTGTCAATTATGATATAGCCTGACAGGTTTCCAATGACCTTCATCCACTTTCATGATGATTGTCGATGACAAGAATTATATGCAGATAACAAAGAGATTGGGTGAAATGGGGTCACCTTGTCGTAATCCTATTGTCGCAAGAAAATTTGGTAGTCGTCTCCCATTACAAAGAATAGACATAGAGGAACTAGTTAGACTGTGCATTCTCAACATTTTTTTGAACACCGCTGTCGTGCACGAATAAAAAACGAGTTACTTTAAAAAATGTAGTTTAGCGACAGTGACTCGAGTATCGTATCGCGAAGATTCTTGTATTGTTATTAACCAACAGAAGTGATTATGGGGAATTTAATTCAAGGTCAATTTTTAAAGAGCTGAGCAAATAAGTGATTAAAATAAGTGATTAAAATAAGTGATTATAAAAATAAGTCGATCTACTGTTTTCAGG